ACACACACACACACACCACCACTACTGCTCCTAATTCGACTCTGACAAATGGGCTTTTATGTCGCCTGCACAAAGGCTGTGTGATTGTTCAGACTGGCACAGCGCCAGCGACAGACTGTTGCTTTTAGTGACAATCAGGCAGCAGTGGGTCTGACAGAGAGAGAAAAAGTCTATCAGCACTGACGGCAGATCATACTGCTGCCTCACCATCCAGCCAACGAGCAGCATTACTGCATAACTGCTCCACACATCCAGACAGACAGGCATACTGACATCTTTGCTCCTGCCCCGACCAGTCAGTGGGATACTGCACTGACATGCACACAAGCAGATTACATGGCAGGGGAAGTCTGTATATGCTCACTGTTTATCAAATATAATATCCAGCAACAAGCAGAGGCGACACAGGAGCAACATCTGTCAACATGGACCTTAACTGGTGAAATGAGATGGCAAACAGGAACTTAATCCTTTGTGATGCTGTTGAGGCAAATGAGTAACCAGAGCCATTTTGTCACGAACGTCTGCTTTCTCTCTGCTTGTCTGCAACAGTATCCCTGTGCTTAACCAAGACCTGAGGCTACACAGGCCAACGTGCTCATTATCAAATTAAACAAACGTGCATGGAATATAAGTGAGGTTTTCAGAACCCCCATCACCAATTAAAAATTAAAATTGGACCCTCCCACAGATAGTGCTCCGGGCCAGTAAAGGGCGGAGCTCAAAGTTATAGAAATAATCATAACTATAAATAATGTCAGCCAAATAACAAATTGGCTACACGTTGATATATAATACCAAATGAATTCCAAATGAAATCTTTCATGTTCTTCTGTGCCAGAATGTTCTGGTTTCTCCCAGTGGTGGTAGTGTATAATCAACTTAAGCCAAGCTCCTATTAAATCTGATTCATCATGTGCAACATCATGCTTCTGAAATACCTTTGCAGCTACCATTTAAATAACCATGACTAGTTCTAATAATCTCGAGGAATTAATAAACTTGACCATTACCCAAAACAATTACCTCCCACTTCCTTTTTTTATTACTTTCTGACCATTACACAAGGCAATTGGTCAACATTAGATGGCTTTATTAAAGACTAAATGAAAACATATGGCCATTTTATTCATTCTGTACATGAAAAGAAGCAGTGCACTATAAATCTTTAATTTAAGAGCATAAATCTGATATTCATCATCGTCACTTTTCCTGTCAAATGCTGCCAACAAGAATGCAGCTGTGGGAAGGTAGTAACTATACCTGCCAATTAGATACCCCACATTATTGTCTTCTCTATTCGTCTCCATTCTCCCATCACTGCTCTGTTGTGCGGCACACTCATAAAGCTCGGTCTTAATTCTTATACCCAGAGCAGCAGCAACTGGACCGGTGGATGCTTGCCAGCTCCGTGCTCTCTGGCTTTATCTACGGGAGCATTACTGGCACTGTTTATAAAACAACACAAAATGTGTACCCACAGAAAGTGAACACACATACTTGGAATACAGTAAAGCCAGCGCTTCTCCTCGAAGACCAATTAATGCCAGACAAGCAGGCCCCAAAGAGGTCTACTGACTCAGCACTTCTTGGTGGACACCCCTGCTTGAGAGACTCCTGCATCAGTCTCCCCAGAGGGACTCGCAGTGAGCCTGGGGGGTGCAGGGCACGGGGGTGAGGAGGCTGAAGAATCAGGGAAAGAGACTATCTACAGGGTTCATTTCCCACACACACACACTGAACAATCACCAAGCTGTTCTATTCTGTTAATAATACCCATAAACTGCTCGGCAAACACGGAAGGGACAACTGGTGTTTTATTTCCCTCCTTGAAGTTGAAGCCGTACTGTGTTTGACAATTCCTCTGGTTCTTTTCAAATGTGCCGTTTCTCCTCAAATGAAAATCTTGTGTGCTGTGAGCGGCGACGAAACAATGTCCAAGTGGGTCAGAAAAAAATGAAAATAATGAAAGCGGAGCTGTCCTAAGAGAGATGAAAGGATATGATGAGAAACTCTGAATAGTTGAGGCCTACAGAGCAAGAACAGTTGGATATTGTTGGATTTTAAAATGCCTGACTTCTAACTGGTTGTCGAACACATCAAGAACACTCAATAAAACCAAGAAAGGCATATTCAGCGCAAAATTGTTGGCTTTCAGATGTTCTTTATATATACCAGTGCAGTGAAATGGTAAAAAGTGTCTTCTTCTGTGCTGTATCTCAGCTACACATTTCACATGCTGTATCAATTATGGAGTCAATAACAGCACTTCATGTTATCTTCTAAAGACAAGCCAGAGAATATGTCCTTGAAGACTTACAACTTCACTAATCATCTGCCAATCAATGTCACATATTTGAGCAGAAACAACATCAAACCCAACATATAACTCCACACAGTTCAATAAAACGTTTTTTCTACAGCACCAGACCCAAGTTCCCCTGAAACAACAGGCTCACGCTCTTCAATCCATGTAATCCCCAAAAATATTCAAAGGGCTATAAATGTCTGTAAACACATGTCAGGCCATCTCAGCTCAGGGCGACAAATGCAGGAAATTATGCGTATGGGGTCAATCAATCTAACACAGCTAGAAACCTAAATAAAACACTAACTACGTAGAATTGTGCAGATATTTCTCAGCACACGTCTGGGCTATATGGTTTATAACTTGAAGTGAGACTGTATTAGAGATGGGGCAGGGATTTATGAGTCACAATCTCCTATATAGCTGAGCTTCAAACACGGTGTGGAAGTGATTATGGCCCTTAAGCTCCCATGACATGGATATCTCCTGGCTCTGCAGCGCTCTGTCAGAGGATCATACTTTAATCTGTTTGTAAAGACACTAGGTATGACACAGGCGCCTCAGGAATGTAACCTGTCATTAATATCAATTACAGATGGATTCAATGGCCAATGATCAGGGGAGTTCAGGAACTTAGGCAGTATATGACTATATTACTATTCTCTTTCCAAAGGTAGGTGGCTGAGCTTAAAACAAAAATAATGAAAGATCTTGTGCAGTAAAAGGAGGGTGAAAACAAAAATAAAATGGAACAACTAAAGGTGAAATGCCTCATCAGACCTTTTATTAGCTCAATAATCATCAAATCAACAACACCGAGCAGTGGGGGATGTAATCATGGGCACATCAGCACAATAAAAAGCCAGCGAGCAGTACTGCCCTATTTTTTACAAAATAATTGGCTAACCACCTTCACCCCCAGCCTCCTCAGACAACACTGTGTGGGTTTAATGACACACATCCATACCAGCCTGTGCCAGTTGGCACACCACACAGGCCCTGGCAGGCTCAGTCTTCGACGAGAGAAGAAGTAGAGCACTTTAACCTCACAGCTCTCAATAGCCTCCCATAAGCTCCTAACAATTTCAGATGGAACTGGGAAAGGATAGCACTCTCAACGTCCAATAGAAACACCAAGCCAGAGAGCGGCTTATGAATTCCAAGTTAGACAAATAAATCCATACATGTTTGTGGTCCAGCCGACCAGGAACTCTTATGCCAACCTTTGGTTTGTGATCATCTAAAGTGGGCGGCATATGCATGATATATCAACATACTCCACAGTACATGAAAAAACATATGGAGTCAATAAAGTAACTGGCCAAAGAACGTGTAACAGAAATGAAACTAACACAATTTTAAACCTCTTTTTCATCCAGGTCTAGGAGTTATGTCAAGACAAAGCCTCATACAACTATATATTATAGGGAAACAATACAGCTAAATTAGAAGCTGAAAGTCGTATGGTGGTACAATTGTAGTTTGGCCACTTCTAATGAGAGCACTGAGGTAACATTCAAAAGAGATGAGGGCGATTACTCATGAGACGTGTCTACACCTCATAAGTGGTTTAGATGACATCACTGCCGCCACTCGGCCAGGTATTTTAAGGGACATGAATGGATGAATGCCATGGAAACTCTGAGACTGTCTAAGTCTGTTACAAAAAAGGGCACTAATACCATCGCACAATTAATCAAATATATCATCGAGTAACTTTCATAATAAACAACAAATATAATTAGCAACAGGTTCCACAAACTTATCAACTAACAAAATCCTGAGCAAATGAGATTGCTGAGATATTTAGTGACTAGTTCACAGAGGAATTAGTGAAGCTAATAATACTGATATTCAATGTAAACTTTTTTTTCCTCTAGAATCTCAAAGTGCTGAAAGACTTCTGAAACTGAGAGTCTCTCAGGTGGGCTAAAGCCTGTCCCCTCAGCTCTTCGACATACCCAACCACCTCCTGAGAGCAGCTTTTGAGCAGGAGAGCTCAATCGGCTGAGGCCCGGAAAAGGGATTATTTTGCTAATTCATCCTGGAACAAAATGGGTATCATTATGATTCAAATCACTATAATAGAATCAAATTAGGCAGAGGAATATAGCAGACAGGATATTAATATGTATCCCCATGGCCAAGGATTTAAGTACTGTATCTTTTCTCTCTCTCTCTCTCTCTCTCTCTCTCTCTCAAGAAACAATAATCACATTGTACTGATTACGTCTGACTGCTAAAGCAGAGAAATACAAGTGTGTTTTTAAGAGCCATATTGTTGTAATCAAAAATCTCAGTTGAATAATACATTTTTATTTCCTGTTCATAACAGGTTCATAACAGGAAATAAAAATCACAATAACATGAACAATCTATTCCTGGACAAACAAAGCCTGAAAGGCAATGTACATTATCAACCTGTTAGGTAGTTCCAGTCCCTCTTGTGTTTTCAATCTGAGCCGCTCTGGCACAAGCCCCAGCTGCATCTTTTGAAGTGCAAAGAATATATGACCAACTTTTTATAGAGGTTCCTAAACATATTTCAGTTTTTTTATTTTTAGTGCAGTAATAGAGAATGTTTCTCATTTCAGCATGTTGTGTATGTGCAATTGTTCCCTTTTGAAGTTTGGTGATAATGCTGCAAAAGCTAAGAGAGAGACAGAGGTGATTGTTATCTTACCCTCCTTCTTCCTGAAATCCCTCCAGTTCATCTCTCTGCTCCGCCAGTGTGGACTCCAAGTCCAGGTAGCTTCCATTATGGGACAGCTGAAGGGCACAGTCATCAGGCTAGACGGGAAGAAGACACAGTCAGACACTGATTTGTCTCAAATCCTCTGAAGATCATTTGCATTTCTACAAATATTAAGTAAGTAGGATGTTTATGGTCAGTTGATGATGGGAGCCAAATACCTGCTGACCATGTATGATATTGGAATTAGGTAAATCCAAAGCTGTGAGACAATCTATCTAGGAGTTTAAGCAAAGAATAAGTTCATAACCACATGCATATTAATCACAATGTGGTAGAACTTGTATTCTTTAAATTACAACTTCAGTTGAAACAAAAATACTGCCTGTTTGTTGTGTGAGTTTTATTCTTATTTATGGTCAGATACAAAACAAAACAACTTCTTTCTTTTTATGGGTGAATGTAAGGTGTATTTGAAGCTTATGTCTAGACTGCAGTGGACCATAGAAAGTTATTTTATCAGCTCCTGCCAGCGCTCCACAATGACAAGCAGGGCAAAGTTGGAGAGAAGTCATGTAGATTTTTTGGCAGTCTGGAGACTCTTATCTCGCTGCTCTCCCTGTCTGTGGACTATCATCACACCAGATGATATTGCAGAGGAGGTATGAATGTCTGGTCTTGAATGGTTGTCGTCAGCTAACTGTGGTCAAGGAGATGAGGAATGAGTGTCAGTTCACTTGTCTGGTTGACCTCCAAATTGGAGATATTAACCTATTTATATTCATAGCCACAGGACAGCAGCTCCAACGGTGAAGCAGACGACAGGAAAACAAATAGAGTTACAGGAGGGAAAACATATAACTTAAGTGGAGAGAGTTGCAATGCTCTGCTCCATCAACAGTCAGGGTGTCTAAAGAAACAAAGTACTGTACAGTCAGTACATTTGTATTCTCTTGTCGGCCCACACTGACGGCTTTGTAAGGCTATGATGGAAATATATAAACTACCATTTACACATCCTAAATAATCTTAATTTCCTAAAAGAAGAGCAATTCATGTAAACATATATGTAACATGTAAAACCATGTGTTTTTTAAATTAGACCGGTTATTGCCAGGTCTGATGCAGTTCGCTTTCCTCCCCACATATGACAGTAACTTAATTGAACTTGAAGGAAAAAGGCTGGGGAAGACATTATGGGTCCGATGGCTTTGATCTGTAAGGCCACTCTGTTTGTATTACTGCAATACAGCACTCAAGGACTGTGTCATATTTGAGAACTGAAACAAAACATGCGGTTGGTTAGGATAACTCTCACTCTTTCTCCAACTCTCTTTCAGATTCTCAGCTGTCTTGTTTGATTTCCGTGCATGATAAACAAAAAGAATATTGGTAATGTAACAGTTGTAGAGATTATGTTGCTCAACTGAAGCAAAGCATAAGGCTGATGCAGCAAACATAAACTGAAAGCTTCAAGCTAGGTTGTCGTTGATGTTCTTATGGTAAGGCAGACGGAGAGACAGAACAGGACAGACATAGAGAGAACGGGAGACAGGGAGAAGACAAAGAAACAAAGCTTTACTGTACACAGGCAGAGGAGGGGAGCAAGTGCTTCTCCAGATTACAGGACAGATTCTGGACTGACAGGAAATCCAGGAATCAGAGCCAAAGTTAGGCCCGCTATTTTTATGCCTTTGGACTGACATGCCTTTAAAAATAATGGGTGTGACAGTAATAGGAAATGTAGCATGAAGGAGAAGACACACTAAATCATATATGCTGACCAGTGGCTGGGCCCTACATAATCTGTGAGATACTGAACCCAATCAAGGAAAACTTTTATTTTAATGAATGTCTGTTCTTCCTGACGTCTAAATCACAAAAAATGCACTGCATCACTTTACAGGTCCAGTGTGTAACATATAGGAGGATCTATTGACAGAAATAGAATAACATATCCATAGGTATGTTTTCATTAGTGTATAATCACCTGAGAGAGAAAGGTTTTTGTTGCCTCAGAATGAGCCTTCTATATCTACAGACACCATGGGTCTCCTTCCATGGAGTCCGTCATGTTGAATCACCATGTATCTACAGTAGCCCAGAGTGGACAAACCAAACACTGGCTCTAGATAGGGCCGTTTGTGTTTTTGCCTTCCCACTAGATGGCACTAAATTTTACACACTGGTCCTTTAAGTCAATAGTGATTATCCTCATTTTCCTTAATATAGTAATAGCTGTGATGTGATTTCTAGTCCCCATTCTTTAGTTCGTCTCTCCTTCAAGGTGTTCTCCATCACAGCTAATTTTAACTACCCACTTCTTCTTCTTTTTATTCCAAATAGAATACTGTTGCTGCTTCTGCAAGCAGAAAATATACCACTTATATAGAAAGCTTTCATGAACTGGGTACAAATGCTTTATGAACGAAAATTGGATGTATTGTTGCAGTTCAGTGCATTATTTTTTAACATTTTCTTTTAATCTATACAATTGTATAGTTCTTTAAATTAAACTATAAGTGTATAGTTCTTTAAAGTACTGATGAAGTTTGTGGATTGGATAAAGGGAAAAAAATGCGTGTTCTCTTTCAGCTTTACGCTCTGTATCACAACCTGAAATAGACAAAACATTGGGCTGAATTTGCAGCCGTAACCAGTAATTAGCTAACTGTGGAAGCAAGAAATGCATTTCCCCACACAAAGTTTTGACTCGCAGACCAAAGTGAAAAAGCAAAAAAAAAGGTCCAAGTGAACTATGCAAGTCTGCCATTGATCAGTCCCCATCCGTACATCCAGATACTCATCCATGCATCCCCACCATCCATCCTCTAACTTTAGGTTCTCATTATATAATCAAACAGGATTACTGTTTACAGGTCTTGCCATGTATAGCCATGCCAGGTTGATGCACACAAATGGCCCTTAATCCAGGAACAGTGCTACCAGATTATCAGTATCAGAGGCTTCCTTAGCTGTCCCCCGCCCAGGACTTGAACCCACGGTGGCCCTGTGATGGCCAAGTCCAGAGAAGTAACCACAAGTGCTCTGCTCACACACTGAGGTCTGGCCTCTCCCTTCAACCACCATACTGTGGTCCACTGACCATGGAGGCAGTTAAGGCAGAAAGGACTAAAAATAAACACCATGCAATTTCCAATTAAAAACTGCTATCTCACACCAGAATTCTTTGTATTCCACAGGGGGAAGACATCTGGGATGAGATAGCATATACTGTATGCACATTTGAAACACAATAGCCATAATAATAACAACAACAATGCCTTTTACATAGTTTTGTGCAAATGCTAACCCTTTTGTTAGCCAGCCTACACTCCGCCATCCTCTAAATCAAACAAGAGGAATTACAGTAAGCCACTTTAAAGCTTAAAGTTTGTTTGATAAAGGTGAGAATGGTATTTGTGGTTTTTCTCTGAAGGCAAGTGATTTAAAACACATTAAAACACACTTGATGCATGAAAGAGACACCGCAACAGTAATCTCAAATTTCTGTCAAGCATGCAGAAGATGAGTCTGTCCATGGATGCTGCATTCTTCTGAGAGGAGCCCTCTGCTGAGACAACACTCCAAAACCCAGAGACCGACAAAAACCTCAACTCTGCATAACAATGTGTAAAAGAATTCAAAGGAGCTTTGACAGGCATGAAGAAGGAACCTGTATTTTACAGCATTTAACATAACTTCTCATTATCGGACTCTGTAATTTCTTAGGGAAAAAAATGCAGGAAAACAACCGGCCCAAAAATTGAAATTGGTAAAGTGAGAGTCCATTCTCCAAGACTTAGCCACATTTTCCCTCCCTTGAATTCTGCTTTGCAATCTGATGCCAGGCCTCAAGGCCACCAGGCCACAAACTACAAAACATTGACAGAGAGGAAAGCATATGAAGGACTATTGATCCATTGATTTGTGTTGACATTACCAGCAGATTTGGAATGACTTCAGAAGATTTGGAACAGAATGCACACTTCGTCATCTGACGAGGACAATGCTTTATTCATGAAAATCAAAAGGCTGAGTCAGGTAATGACTTACATACTTTCCATCCACAGAATCAACAGAAAACCTTGCTTACAGATAATATGCTACACCTATACATGGCAAGGATGAATATTGGTGTCTGAAACACAAATGGTCTATTACAAGTATTCTGCCTTAGGAATATTCAGTGCTACTGCAATAACACAATACTTTTCATACTGCAATACAATACATGGTGGCATGGCAATTTATGAAAGGCCACTGGGTAAAAAAACTGCCATCAAAGTATGTCTGCTGTCCAGACAAAGCGGTTGTTGCCACACAACAAGCCTTAATGTTTTGAATCCTTATTGCCATAAAAAATGAACCCTGATCATAATGGCTTTGGAAGTATAACCCCCACAAAACCCCTAATTGAGGTTTGACTCTGTGCAGCAGCATAGCCAAGGTGCCATCCCATGTTCAACCCGTACACATGTACAGCTCTCCCCTCTTGAGACTGCAGGGCTGAAACTGACAGGAACAGCCCAGAGACAGCATATGCTAGCTGTTTTGACTCCCTCGGCACCATGTGTTAGCAGCGTTCTATTAATACCACAGTGACCTGCACCATAGAGACGGAGCTCAAAGACAACAGGTTTGTTGTCAAAGGTATTTACAAGGTCACTCCAAAGTCACTTCTTCAAACATTTGAGGGTGTGAATCAGAGAAGTCATCGCTCAAATGTGGCGACACAGTCTCGTCATCCACCTGACTTTTATTTTTATTTTTTTTTATGAAAAGCACAAGGGCTGCTCCTTCAAGTTACTGCTAACCACCAATGTGACCAAATCTCATAAACCATGCGCTGCAGAGCCTACCACTGGTACTCCCTCTCTGTCTAGTTTGCGGTCCAGCTGGCCTACTACTAAACTGAGACCAGTCGACTGTGCAAAGTACATCAGCTCTTTGTTTGTGTTTTTAATTCTGCCCGCTTCCCTCTCCTCTCTCAAACAGTGGAAAGTGTTCCCATCCCATCCTGCTGGTCAGACTGAGTGGGCTACAGAATGAGAGCCAGGCTTGTGGTGATCCACAGCATCCTGAGGCTTCCGTGACTTATCTTACCAGCTCTACTCAAACAAGATGGAGTACCATTGATCTGACAGAATGAAGAAAGACCCTAATTAACTTTCTATTTACGTGACTTCCCAACCAGACTGAGATGAATTCTCAATAAAAGACTCGACCTCAGACACTATGGCCCCTCTGTTTGGTTTAAATTTAAAGGTCAGTAGATGAGGTCTTTGGAAGATGTGTTTGGATGCACATAGTCTAATCAGAAGGCAGACACAGGCGTTTTTCCAAGAGATATAGCCTTCAGAGGCCTCTTACAGAAAGAAAAAACAAAAATGGGCTTCAGGTTTACATTATTTGTCACTGGCTTTCTTTGGGAAACTCACACAGGGCATTTACACCATACCAAAGAGGAACATTTAGTTATTTTGAGCTGCTTAAAACTGGCTGTGCAGTTGTGGATTTTGGGATGGCCAACTTTTGCAACCAAAACAATGTGTACTGTTTCACCTCCTCAAACGGGCGGGAATAAATGAAGACCGACCTGATGCAGCTGACCAAACACAACAATGCAGAGGTACAGCAAAATGCACTCTGTTTTTGACAAAGGAAATAACCCAATATCCCCAAAAAAAGGTAAGATGTCCAATTACAAAATGATAATAAAAATACTCATGGGTTCAGATGTACAGTTGAGATCAGATGGCTGCAAATTTAAATCCCCAGATCTAGGACAATCCGGGTGGGGAATTACCCTCTTCAATCCCTCAGCAACTGACCAACTGGGCATTTGACCCCACCTACTCTAATTGGAGCTGTGTAGTAACAATAGCAGAAGTGGTTTCTTACATGGACCTGCACATTCATATACCACAAATACAAAATAGTCTTTTTCCATTAAAGACTTTAGCTTTTTTTCAGCTCCTTCACAGTTAAGACGAAGATGAACCCAGCTGAAAGTTGAGTGAAGGTTAAATTGTAAAGCAAAGTATTATTGAGTATATCACATTTGGGTTGTCTGTTTACTTACTTGTTTGTTTCTTTTCTCTCACAAAAAAAACTGACAGACTAGATAATGAATAGTTAGAAAATCAGGTTAAACTGAGGGGGGTTACTGTTGTGGTTGAGGTAAACATTAACAAATTCCTCCCCTCACCCAAATAATGGGTGTCTAACTCCACTCCAGTGTCACCTGAAGCCACAAAATATCCCAATATGTCTTATTATAGGCCTATCCTACTGACACTGTGCATGCAAGAACTGTTTGAAGACATGTTGATGCTCCATCAGCATCACAGATCAGCAAACTGCTCCAAGCCACTGGCTCCATCAATGGCCCATTAGGTTTGTTTGGTAGTAACCCCATCAACACATGTTCAGGCTAATTATTAATTTAGCAATTTGCAGGCCTGGGTGTTAATGTTTCACTAAGCTCGTTTAAAGAAACATAACAGAGAAAGAAAAAGAATTAAAGGATTTTATAAAAAAAAGTATACTACATACCTTCTGTGGGGCTTTCAGCAGCCTGTGGACTCCAGCAATCTGATTTATCAGAGGAATATCTTCCCTGAAAGTGTACAGAGGTGGTCTGGTGGGCTCGGGGAAATTGGTGCTGTTAAATGGATCAGTATCATCTAAGAACTGTACCCTGCATATAAACGTAGCCATGATGTATCCATGCAAGGCGACTTTTTTTTTTTAGATAATGAAAATAGCGGATGCGACACCACAGCCTCTCTGACAGACAGCAGCCCCCCCGGGCAGCGAACTACCGGCAGGTCTTCTGCAGTAGCAAAAACCTGCACCCTCTGTTATCCTTGGACCGTCTCCATTCGCTTCAAGCAGCGCAGAGGACTCAGGACAGTGTACCCAACAGTCCAGAAGTAAAGATCCAGGGTACCTCGTTGAGAGATACGGTCAGTCAGAACGGTGTGGGAATGAGAGGGGCGGCGGTATCCAAGGGCATTGCGGGCGTTGGAGGTGCTGCTGAGGCAGACTGCGGACGGGACTGCTACACTTGGCGCCTGGTCTGTGAGAGCGATGGGAAGCGGCTCCCCTCCTCAAGCATAAACCCTGCCAGGGGACGCAGGCAGCAGCCAGACCTCAGCCGGCCCGACGCAGCTCATGTTACAGGCGCAAAGGCGGCCTCCAGTGGCGAGGAGGAGAAGTGCACTAAAGAGGCTCTGCACCGAAGCTGGCAGTGACTCAGCCGTTTAACGAGCGATGCAATCGATGTTGTTTTAAGCTCCAACACAGACGGTTACAGTTTTTACGGTTACGGTTTTTTCTTCTAAATAACCCGCATGTACATGTAAACGTCTGTTTCCCATGCCAGTAAAGCCCCTCAAAGCCCCGAATTGAATCGACAGACAGACTTTTAGTATCTATAGACAGTTGATTCCTAAATCGCCATGATGTAGTTGTAAAAGTTAATGAGTGATTAACAATATGACACAGTTTGCATATTAAATGTTAAGTAAGTAATAATAAATACATCTTTACTGTCGATGACAAATGAGCAAACTCCACCTGCTGATGAAGGCCATGAGATAAGATGAGCTGTGGGAGTTTTTTGTAAAACCATTTATAAGGTCATTAATAAAGTAACCGGGAAGGAATTAAATTAAATTAGGAAAAGCGCCAGTGCCTTGTCACATAATACCAACTTATCTGTATTGCTAGATAATGGATGTTATTGTTTTACATTAATACTATTTTACCATTAAATCTAAATTATACTTATTTGACTATAAATATACTGAGGCTCAATATCCAGCCTTAAGCCACATACTGTAACACTTCCTGTAAGTGAGAACATAGGCTTTTGTCATTTGGGTGAAATGACTCAGGTGTCATAAATTCTATAAAAACTGCTGTTTTTCTCCAATAAACCTCTGAAGAACTTCTGTGCATTGGTCATTCCCCATCAGATAAGACACTAGTTGTCTATTGTGAGTTCTTGCTCAGCTTAGGCTTCAAACTCTCTAGCAAACTCAAACATTTTGTAACAATTTGCACTCCATATCTCTTTAATTTGCACACTGCACATATATTTTGAATTATAGTCATTATATTTTCTATTATTTCTTTTTAATATTTTTTACTTCGTATTCTTTATTGTAATTTATACCCTCTGTACTTTTTGCACTACATTTCCCCCACTGCTGCTGTGTCAAATTTCTCCCACAGGGGATTAATAAAGGAACATCTTATCATCTTATCTTAAACGCTGCACACCCCTAGCTGATGCTTCCTTATGCCAGAGCCTAGTCAATCTATAACAGAGGTCCAGTACATAATGTAGGTTCTCACAGTGTGCGCCACCATTTACATTCCAGCTCTGTACAGTGCACTATTGTATAAGAGCTATACTACAATTACTATACCACAGTACCATAGTGTTGGAGAGATGAGGTTAAAACTTCCCAATCCAGGCCTGGAGGACAGGATACTATCCCACCAGGAGTTGGACAAGCTGGAGGAGGAAGAGGCTGGAGACAGACCAAAATGGGACAACAAGGCCCAGTACATGCTGACCTGTGTGGGGTTTTGTGTGGGACTTGGAAATGTCTGGCGGTTCCCCTATCTGTGTCAGAGTCATGGAGGAGGCAAGTGATGCTTTCATGGTGGTTCCACTTTATTTGGATAGTCCACCTAAAGATATTTCACCAGGTTATTAGTTGAGATTCAGCAATTCAACCATTCAGATACTCTATAAATGCATGTTAGAATGCCTGTTTGTAAAATGTAAAAGCCTAAGCCATGTTACTGTTGATCAGACATGATTTTCTTCTGTGCTTCTTTTTAACTTATTTATATCATATTTTGTATTTTCATACTGTGTGTGTAATGAATTATTTCCTGTGATTTTATGTTTGAACTAGTTTGCCTCAACTTCCCCCCTTAAGGGACAAATTAAATATGTACTTTGAATTGAACTGAATTGCATTGCAGTTCTGGATCTCTGGGTATGAGGATGGGGTCTATATGATACTCAACACCCTTCTCTAAGTTAAATAGTTAGCCAACAGTATCACAAGACTGCTCATTCGGACATGACTGTACCCTGATGAAACCTGTTAAAGAGATTGGTCTAAATTAATGTGGACTCAAAAGGGTGCCTTGTAACTGATCTGTTCAGATAAGAAGTTTTATATGCTCCGATAAGACTCCTTCTAAAATGCTTACAACTGCCAAAGCTTAAATGCATTGTACATTGCATTATAAACTGCATTCTCTGTGCTCACGTGCATCATAAATGATTAACATCTAGATGTTCTGTTGAATATATAAATATATAAATACTTAATATGTACTACTAAAAACTGTACTCAGCTCAATGATAATGAAAATTAACAGTTCCTTTGTTCTTCCTGCAGGTGCATTTATGATACCATTTCTGATCCTGCTGGTTCTTGAAGGAATACCACTTCTGCATCTTGAGTTTGCCATTGGTCAGCGTTTAAGAAGAGGCAGTTTGGGAGTGTGGTCTACAATTCATCCTTACTTGACAGGCGTCGGTAAGAAACATTTTGCATAATGTTTGCTAAAAAAAATTGTAAAAGTGTCTTAAAATAAACCCTTTTGAAACGTTCATTGGCAGGTATTGCATCCATGTGTGTATCTCTGACGATCAGTCTCTACTACAACACCATCATCGCCTGGATTATGTGGTACTTCTTCAACTCATTTCAAGACCCTCTGCCCTGGAGTCAATGTCCTACGAATGCCAACTTAACAGGTACAACAACACCACCATACAGCTACAACTGGTACTGTATTTGTGAATTCAGAATGGAAAATGAAGTTAGAAACTTGATTTTGACTTAGTGACACATACTGTTGTTACATTCTATCAGGCTTTGTCTCAGAGTGTGAGAGGAGCTCCCCTGTGGATTATTTCTGGTACAGGGAGACCCTGAACGTAACTCCAAGGATTGAAGATGATGGCGGTCTGCAGTGGTGGATAGTGTTATGTCACATTTGTGCATGGTCTGTGCTATACATCTGCATCATTCGTGGTATTGAGACCACTGGGAAGGTACAGCACATTACTTACTACAGTAGAGAAGATTTGTATTCAGCTAAACAATAATATGAATACTTTATTTTCCCAAGGCTGTGTATGTGACTTCAACCCTTCCCTATGTGGTGCTGACAATATTTCTGATCAGAGGACTGACCTTGAAGGGGTCTTTGGATGGAGTAAAGTTTCTCTTCACACCCGATGTAAGTTGCATTTTTTAAATTCATTTTAGCAATTTTGAAATGATGTTAATGCTATGTGGCAATTACAGGGATAAGATTTCATGCCAAGTTATTTTTAGCAAACTGTGTTCAATAAAATAAACAGAAATTAAATTTTTTACCCCCATCTATGGAATTATTTTTACCAAATGTCTTGTTATTTTAGTCATCTGAATAGACCTCAGCATTAATTCCTCCTTAGAGGTACCATACTGAGCAATACCCAGTTGATCCATTATTGTCTGCTTTACAAATTCTTCCAGTTAGCAGAGCTGGCAAAGCCATCTACATGGCTCGATGCAGGTGCTCAAGTTTTCTATTCCTTCTCTCTGGCTTTTGGTGGTCTTATTTCTTTCTCCAGCTACAACTCAGTGCAGTAAGTTTGTTTTTTTGTTTTAACCAGAGTCATTTACAGGTAATTGCACTGCACTGTAAAGAAATGTTACATTGCCCTTTTCCTTTAGTAACAACTGTGAACAGGATGCAGTGATCATCTCTTGCATTAATGGTTTCACCTCCGTCTATGCCGCAACTGTCATTTACACCATTATTGGCTTCAGAGCAACAGAGAGATTTGACAGCTGTCTTTCTGGGTACAGTATTTCAGTATTACAATCCTTTTTTTTTTAATTTACCAGCTGATATGTTTATTTTCTTAAGCAATACAGTGACTCTGAAAATCTTTTTATTTTATTTTTGGGTTTTAGAAACATCATAACATTACTAAATGCATTTGATCTTCCTGAGGGCAACGTCACTGACAGCAACTACAATCAGGTTGTTCAGCATCTTAATCAAACATACCCTGACGTTATTCAAGGGCTGGATCTAAAGACCTGCAACTTAAATACTTTTCTCAGTGAGGTAAAACTTCAGCAGGTCTACGTAAGAAAAATGACAGATGTATACTTTCAAATGATTCCCATCATGTTTTGCTATAATGCGGTGCTGTATTTGGTCCTAGGGAGTTGAAGGAACTGGTTTAGCCTTCATTGTGTTCACTGAGGCTATCACAAAGATGCCTGTCTCACCGGTGTGGTCGGTCCTTTTCTTCATAATGCTCTTCTGTCTCGGCCTGTCTTCCATGTTTGGTAACATTGAGGGAGTTGTAGTACCACTGCAAGACCTCAAAGTTTTTCCCAAGACATGGCCAAAAGAAACTATCACTGGTAACTCGCACATCTTTTATCTCACTTTAATAATAATTATAATAATTAGGATTTCTAGTATATTTGAATCAATTCAATTCTTTGCTCTCTTTCAGGTCTAACATGCATAGTCTGCTGTCTGGTGGGACTGATATTTCTCCAAGGCTCTGGGAACTATTGGCTGTCACTCTTTGACACTTATGGAGGATCCATCCCTCTACTAGTTGTTGCATTCTGCGAGATGGTCTCAGTGGTGTACATATATGGGATAGACAGGTGATTAATGTGACAAATATAACACAAATTAAGTGTTATATTTGTCTGCTGAATTCTTAATTCCAATGTCTGGTATTGCTTTTTATGCTGTGTGGTGAAGCCAAAGACATAATTGCATGTTGTGGGCAACCTGATAAGTTAACCAAATAAATTGTGACCTATAACACAATAACCACTAGGCAAACATGATTTATCATATGCAGGATGTGAACATTATAATAGCTTTGATACTTCTGTACTGTCGCTTACATTTTAAGATATTGGTGGTAGTTAAACAGCATGATAATGATAATAGATACCAGGAACATACTTCCTCCATAAACAAATGCACTTTTTCTACCATCCTAAACCTGCAGATTTCATAAAATCACTTGGACATGTGCAATGATTTAGCCATTTAATCAGAGAAAATTAATTCAGGGTATCAAAAGTATAAAGCACACTATTATTGCTTTATTTACCTTTATTAAGGGAAGCTTATTTAGTGTTCTGATATTTTGTCACTGTCCTTTCCAGGTTCAATGATGATATTGAATTCATGATTGGACACAAACCCAACTTCTTCTGGCAGGCATCATGGAGAGTAATCAGCCCACTTATTATGCTTTTTATCTTGATCTTTTACGTCGTCACCAAAGTTTCTGAAAAGCTCCTTTACAAAGCCTGGGATCCTGAATCGGTAAATATGAATTCATTTTGACATGATCTTCCTAGAATATGAATAAGCATATTGTCATGTACCATAAAAAACACAAAATATAACATCTTCTCTCTGTCTTTAAAGGAAAATTTCCCAACATTGGATGAAAAGTCATATCCAGCCTGGATCTATGTGATCATCTTTATATTGGCAGGGATACCCTGTATTGCTATACCTGTTGCTGCCATCTGGAAATGTTTTAAGACAAAGAGAGATAAGTCACATCTCCAACAATTGGATGAAGGAACCAGAAAGGCTTCAGCCTAATATTTTGGGAAAATTAAATTTTTTCTGTTTCCATAACATTTAAATGATTGCTATCATGGTTTAATCAATGCAATTTTAAAATAGGAGCCATTACTTTCTCTTTCTGCATCCATCTGCGACAGCATGTAAAGCTCTCACTGCTTAGATAGATAGATAGATAGA